AAATTTTTTTTTTATTTTTTTTTTTAATTTTTAAAAATTTTAATTTCTTGTATTTATTACCACCATTTACTTTTTTTTTTTTTTTTTTAATTAATTTCTTTGTTTTTTTGTATTATAAAATAAAATAGATATTTATAAATATTAAATATTAAATATTAAATATTAATATTTTTCTTATAGAGAAGATAAAGAACCATTGGTGGAATTAAATGAAATAATGAATGGCCAAAAATATTCATTAGAAAATAATAATAATATATACTATGAAGATGATGAAAGTGACAGTAGTCTTGGAAGTAATAGATATAATAAAGTAAATAATAGACAACAGCAGCAATTAAAGAGATCATATAATCAATATGGGGACGATGATACCAATACGTCAAACAGTAGCCCAAATACAGATTCACCATTTTTAAAATCATCAGATTACAGTTTAAATAATAGTAATAACAATAATAACAACAACAATAGTAGTAATAAAAATAGTTTATACGATGACGATTTAAAAAAATATTATGGTGGAGCAAACTATAATAGTCATTTAAATGATGATGACGGTGGTTCATTTTCATTCGATTTAAATACAATCAAAGGGTTTTTATATTATATTTATTTTTCACTTAGATATACATTATATGGTGATTTTAGAGTGGCCCTTAAATATGTTCATAATAATTCAAAAAAAAATAGAAAGAGTTTATTATTAGGTTTATTTACAGTTTTTTTAGTAGTTTTATTTATTAGGTAATTATATTTTAAAAAAATTATTAATATTTTTCATTTCTATACTAATATTTTATTTTATTTTTTCTTTTTAATAGTTTTTTACAAAATTTAATTCAATCATCACCAATAGTATTTTTAAAATTATCAGAGGATCAAGCTGGTGAATTAGATTTAGTATTAACAGGCGATCCAGGAAATTATTATTCATCAGGTAATACAACATTAAGTTTAGATGTAGTAAATACAGATAGCGAAGAGTTAAAATATTCAACTAAATTAAAAAAAAGCAATCAGCAATATCGAGCAATCGAATCAAATAAATATAATCAATTTAACAATGTTAGCGAGCTTGGCACAACTGGTTTATTGGGAAAGTTATTTGATAGTTTTTCAGATCAATTAGGAATGCTTAATCAAGATTTTGGTGGATTTTTTGTAAATTCAACATTTTTAAATCATACTTTGAATGGTGCATCAACAGTACATGGTGTTGCTCCAAGATGGGTCTCTATTTCAGATATAAATACAAATCAAACTTTGACAAATGATACATCAATCACCAATAGTGCTTCGTTGTTAGTGATGGTAATGAACACCACATTAGAAAAGGAGATGGGTTTAGGCAGAGGTTGGAAGTATCCACCTTTGGTCGGTAATCAAATTCATATAACTTCATCTTTCCTCAGACGTATCAACATTCAGCCAAATAAAAACCAGGCCGTTCATCTTCATATGGACTTTTTCGATGTTCTCCAACGTTTGGGTATATCATCATCCACACCCACTTTCGATTCGTTCATCGATTCAATCGAGTCACAATTGGGATTCCCAATACCCGAGCAATTAAATGTAACAACTGCCATTGAAATGTATGACTTCCTCAATCCAAATGCTCATTTAGATCAAGTATTAGAAAATCTTTTAGGCCCAAATGCATTTGTAATCTCTGATGATGGTATGGTACTTTATCCAGTTATCGCTTTAAAGGAGCTCTATGATTCAGTTCGTAATGACCTCAGTCTTGATCAAGATTTAATTGTTATGGATAGCATCGAATCACCTGGTGGTAAATTCCCAGATACCATTGGTAATGTTGGTATTTTAGAATCATCTTTTGTGGAATCAATGATCAAAGAAAAGCTCGATAATGTTAACAATCAATTGAACAACACAAATCTAAATCAATTAATAGCAGCATTAGAGGCATCAGCAGATATTATAAATTTAAGTGGAGTTAATATTACTAGTTACTTGGATCGATTCAATAGCTTCAAAAAGACCTTTAACAAGTTTCACAAAAATTTCAATATCAACTTTTATGCAATGTCACCAGTTATTATGTTGGAAAACCGTGTCAAAGTCTATATTGGCTCTGATGATGAAATGAAGGTAGGAATGATGGAGTTTACAAACCAAGTATCGACTTTATTGGGATATAGCTATCCAGTATCATTTACAACTCCATTGGCTACAACACTAAAGATGTTTGTCTACACTAAACTTTCGCTAAATCAAATTTTCAATTGTGTTGCTTGTGTATTGTTGGTATTAGGTGCTCTCATGGTCTATAGTTTACTCTTGAGTGATGTTGAAGGTAAAACATTCGAATATGGTATGTTACGTGCTCAAGGTATGCGTCAGTATGCTTTAATTATTCTTTTGTTAACTCAATCGCTCTACTTTAGTATTCCTGGTATTATGTTTGGTTTATTCATTGGCTGGTGTCTTTATGCTGTTGTTGCTTACTTTGTATATGTACAATTTGTATTATTACCAATAGATCTCACATATCACAGTACATCAATTATTTCTGGTCTTGCTATGGGTTTCTTAATGCCAATAGTTGCCAATATTGCACCAATTCAAAGAGCTCTTTCTCGTACACTTCGTGATGCATTGGATGTCTATCATCAAGTTAAAAATGAAACCATGGTAAAAATAGAAAAACTTGAAGAGATTGGTTTAGATGTATTACAAACTATTTTAGCAATTTTAGCTGTTGCAGTTGGTTTCACTGTTTACTATTTAATTCCATTATCGTTCACCTTTAGAAACTTAGGTTTGTTCTTTGGTATTTTAACAGGTATTTTAATGGGTATGTTATTTGGTATGTCAATGTTGGCTCAGGCAGTTCAACCATTCCTCGAAAAAGCTATTGTATTTTCAATTATTTTAGGTCCAGATCGTCGTTCTCTCTATTCTCTTGTTAGAAAGAATCTCTTTTCCCATAGCACTAGAAATTCAAAGACCGCCACAATGTTAACCATCTGTTTAACATTTATTATTTTCACTGGCTGTGTATTCCGTTTACAAGGTCATAACATTCAAGAGTTGGTACGTTTAGGTATTGGTTCCGATGTTGGTGTAGTTGCAACCTCAATTAGAAATCCAATTCCAGAGATTGATATACGTAACTTTTTAGATAATGATATTGCAAATAATACAAATTCAATTGTTGCAAATTATACAGTAGTATCTTTCCCATTGGATAAAGTAATGAATATTAGGTCAACTCAATTGATGCCATTAGCTCAATATCCAAGCATTAATGTTCGTATTTATGGTGTCGAAAGTAATTTCCTTAAGAGCACATTCACAGATTTCTATCAATACACCGAGTTAGCAGATAGTTTGAAATTCCCAAATGTTAAAGTAGATGGCAAGGAATATCCTGATGTAATAGACAGTCTCTATGTCAATCAACACAAAGAATTAGTTCCAGAGGATATCCATGGTAAAATTGTACCACCACCAATGGTAGTTTCAAATGGCAGTGTTACATATCAAAAAGCTAACCCAATTTGGAATTGGTTAAAACATCACTTGGATAATGGAAATATCTACACAAATTATACAGATATTATTTTCTCTGAAGCTTTTCGTTTAACATGTGGTGTAGATACCAATTCTCCATTCAATTTAAATGTTAGATTCAAACAATATTCAAATAATTATGCAACTTTAACTTTATTAGCAAAAGGTCAAGCTATGGTTAGAATGTTCCCATCATTCTTTTTCTCTTCATACTCTCAAACCGCATACTCATCACCAGTTTTAGTTAACAATGATGAATTTTATAGAATAATGAAAATGGTTTATTCTTTAACAAGTGACCAAAGTGTAGTATTACCAGAAGTCGTTCCAAAATCAAAGGTTTTAGTTAAATTTAAAGAAGGTTCAACTCTCAGCGAACGTGAATATATTATAAATGGTATTCGTAATTTTATTAAAACAGATAATATTCAAGTAATGGATACTCAACATCTTTTGGATACCACCAGTACCGCTGTCACCATTTTAAATATTTTCTTTTATACCGTATCAGTAGCTTCAATCATTTTATGTTTCTTTATGTTATGGGTATCATTCAGCGCAAACATTCACGAAAACTGTTGGGAGTTTGGTGTATTAAGATCAATTGGTTTAACAAGTTTCCAAGTTACTCGTATATATATTTATGAAGCTTTAGTTTTAATCTTTTCATCAATGGTTTTAGGTCTAATTATTGGTTTAGGTGTAGCTTTAACTCTTACTCTTCAATTTGATTTATTCACAGAGTTACCATTAAGTTTCGAATTCCCATATTTCTGGTTTATTGGTGTTTTATTAATGTCAATTGGTTTAGCAATCATAGTTTCTTATCAATCTTCAAAAGAATATAGGTAATTATTAATATAAATTTTAAAATTTATTATTATAAAAATTTATATACTAATATAAATTTTTTTTTTTTTACATTTTAATAGAGAAAGAATGATTGCTTCAGTTTTAAAGGGTCTCTAAAATAAATTTAAATAATATATTTGATTAAATTTATTTTAGAATTATAAAAAAATAATAAAATATATATAATGTATAAAAAAAAAACAGTAAAATTTATTTATTTTTTATTTAATTAATATTTATATGATCTTTTCCATTTAAATAAACCATTGACATGTCTATTGTTTCTTTTTCTATTTGTAACCCCAAACCTTCTTTTGATGCATTAACCAATAATCCACTTGCGTCATAAGCTAAATTTGTATTGAATAAACCCCCAAGTCTATTTTGACGAACATATTCTGCTTTTTCACGAACTGATTTTGCTGTATCCAAAGTAATAAATACTTTATTTTGAGAGTTGTAGAGGAAATCTGACTTGGTGTCTCTGTCATTGAACAATTGATAACCATTTTCTTCTTTGTATAAATAATGGGTTAATATATCATTGTATGAAATGATACTGGGATCGAATGTACCTATAATTTGTTTGTGATGCTTGAATTTACCTTTTAATGGTTTATGAATATCAAATTGTTTAATTTTGGTGTCACATGCAGCCACTCCAAATGTTGAGTATGCAATATTGATTTTTCTTGATGGAACACCACAATCTAGTAAATAATGTACCGTGGAATCTATTGAATTTTTAACCATTATATTTTTATTTCTTTTTTGTTGAATTTTTGAATTGATTTTATTCTTTGTTACTGTTGGAGGAGATAATAGATTTGAACCATGACATATTTTTGTTGGTTGTTCATTTGATAGTGGTTTAAAATAATTTAATGTAAGAACATAAAAATTATCTACACCTGCATTTATTAGATTACTGAAATTGTATTTTTTTAAATCTTCAATGGTTCCTGGTACAACAAGGTTAACTTGAATATTATGTAAACCATTGTCATTAAATTCTTTCTTTAATTCAGTAACCAAAAGTACTAAAGCTTCGCAATCTTCTTTGGTTGTTGGGGTATTGTTTTCATTTACTCTCCAATCGATTTCTACCGAGCTAAACATGGGGAATCTCATCAAAACATCTAATACACCTTGAGTAAACTCTATTCTAGAACTAAGGTTTTTAACCAAATTGTGAAATGGTTGCGAAAATTCTGGACCACCAATGGCAAATGATATTTCTAAGTTTTGGTTTTTATGCTTTAAGTGATTTAAACCACCCAATAATCCTTGACAATGGGTTTGTCTATAATCTTGTGGTAAATTTACCACACCTGCATTTTCTAAACCAACATTATTAAAAGATTCCAATGACCCTACAATATCCTCTACTATTGGTACATGTCCATTTAGTCCTAATTTTTTTGCATTTAAATTAATTATCTCTTTTTTGATTCCCTATAAAAAATTTATAATATTAAAAAAATTTAAATTAATATAAATTATTGTAAAATTATAAAATTAATAAATTATTATAGTTACACTATCACCACCAATACCAAAATAACTAAATGTTATTTTATCATAAGCAAATGGATTTACAGTTGAAAAATCAAATCCTAATCCAAAAGAATCTTTTTTATTATCGTAAATTAAACGACCATCATATTGATCCTTAACATTTAAAAAGCCAGTTAAAAGAAAATCAGATTTTTTATTATTGTAAATATTATAACTTGGTTGAACAGTTCTACTAGAATTATAACTTAATTCATAAATATCTTCAATTGGATTAAATTCATTTGAATGAATTGGATCTTCTTTAATGATATTAGACATATTTTAAAAAAAATAAAAGCATATATATAAAAAACAAAAGAAATAATTAATAATAATTTATATCTATACAATATATAAATATATTCTACAATAAATATGTTTTTTACTAAATACTATTAGTAATTAAATTGTAAATAAAATGCATTTAAAAGTAAAGTTGTAAAAAAAAACTCATTTTTGTAACAAATAATAATTTAATACTAAACCACACACACAAAAAAAAAAAAAAAAAAATCTCACACACACCAACACACTTATCTTTGGCGGGGTTTGTGAAGTTTTTATTAAATTTTCATTCAAACAATTTGTGGGTGTATCTGTGTTTTTTTGTAAGTCTATGTGCTATAACTATTTATAAATATAGTTATAACATATTTCTATATTTAAACTTTTTCATTTTTCATTTTCCATGCAGCTCTTTCAGATTTTTGCTGGAATTTTATTTATTTATTTTTTTTTTGAAAAAACTAACTATTTAAAATAACTACTTTAAAATCAAATTTGATTTCATTATACTCATATTTGATTAATTAATATTTTATTTTAAAAATCATTATTAATAATTAATATAAAATTTCGTCGGCATTTTGATTTTAAAAAAAACAATTTAAAATAATAATTAATTAAAATAGTTATTTTAAAAAATATTTTTTTTTTATTTTTTTTTATTTTTTATTTTTTATTTTTTGAAAAATTTCTTGCTATGTTTATTATTATTTTGGGTTTTTTTGTAAAGAGGAAAAGACATTTAAAAAATGGGTATATAATACCTATTTTTTATAGTTCGTTGCCTTGAAAAAAATATGTAATATTTTATCATTAGTTCAAACTACCACCATATTTAAAATAATATTTTTTTTTATTTATTTTTATTTTTTTTTTATTTTTTTTTTTAATATAAATTGAATTCAATTTTAAAAAAATAAACAAACATTTTTATTAAAAACCAATATTATAAAAATATTTTAAGATATATCTTAAAAAAAAAAAAAAAAATTATTTTATAAAAAAAAATTTAAGATTAAAAAAAAAAAAAAAAAAAGGAAAATAAAAATGAAACTTTTATACTCTTTAATAATTTTGGTAATTTGTATATCGGCCACCCTTTCAGTAAGTATATATAATGACAATTTATTTAATAGTTTTATTTATTAATTTTTTTTTTAAATTATTTTTTATTTTATAGGAAAGTATTATTAACAAAAATAGTAATACGAACAACAGTAATAAACAAATATCAGAAACGGAAAAGAATGAGTTTTTCCAAAATATCCAAGGCATCTATAGTGAAATCGGTGATCTATTCAAACAAACTGAAATTTACAATTACATTAACAAGTTGGATGATATAATTAAAACATCCAATGATCTAAAAGAAAAAATTAGAGAAGTTGAAAATGTTAGAGAAGAGCATTTAAGAGAAAATTTTAATATAAATAATAATAATGAAATAAAACACTTCAAAGAACCTGTTAAATTAGATATTGAAAATTTAGAAGATGATGAAACTGTTACAAATTTAGATAAAGAAGAAATTCAATTCTTAGAGAGAAGACTATTGGATGCATTAGGAGTTGATACGGATAGAAATGATAAATTATTTATTCAATTATCATTAGGTACCACTGATATATTGGGTAATTTAGCCCAAGAAGCCCAGATACAAGCACAAAGAGCTGCAGAGCAACAATTAAATGCAATTTTAGGTGGTACTGAAGAAAATAAAAATAATAAAAATAAAAATAAAAATAAAAAAGATAAAAATAAAAAGAAAAATAATAATGAACAATTAGAAACTCCACAACAACAAAATCAACAATCACAACAAAATAATGATCCAACACCTTCTGCTGAAGTTACTAATGGTCCAATGAATGGAGAATCTCATGTAGAAGGTAGCAGTAGTAATTCCAACTTATCTGACCAATCACCAGCCGTCATTGTCTACACACCACCAACTAGTGAAGAAGATGAAAGCTCCGATGATGATTCAATGATTGAAGATATTTTAGATTTCTTTGAACACTTTTTCGGTCGTCAAAGAACCCCACCACCAAGAGATGAAGATTCAATAGAGTCATCCTACCACCCATCCCAAGAAGAATCTTCAAACTACCCTGAACTTATTCCAAACACTAATAAAGGTGTAAATCAACACTTATCAAACAATAACAACAATAATTAAAAATAATTAAAAAAATAAAAAAAAAAAAAAAGAAAAAAAAAATAATTAGTTTTTTTTTAATTATAATTTAATTTTAATAAAACTATTTTGTTTTGTTTTTTTCGGTTTATATTAAGACATCTAATCTTCACAATCAAAGTTATTTATTTTTTATTATTTTTTATATTTAAAGATTAAACCCTTTTTTTTTTAAAATTTAAAAAAAGTGTATTATTTTTTTTAGATTAAAGAAAATTTTCCTTGAAATAAAAGAGATTGGGTTTATCCATCTTTCAAAATAAATATTCTTTTAAATGTTCCTTAAAGCAAAAGACATTCAAATTATTTTATCTTTACTAATGAATACATTTAATAAATTTCTTTCAATCAAAAGAAATTGAAATTTTTTTATCTTAACTAATAAATACATTCAATTTTTTTCTTCTAATCAAAAGACTTTCAAATTACTTTTATCTTTAGTAATTAATACATTCTAAAATATTCTTTTGGTTAAAAGAAAATTATTGAATAGATTCAATACCAAAGATTAAAGCAAAGATACAAATTGTGAATAAAAGAAAAAAAAAAAAACTGTTAATTGAAATAATGAAAATAGTTTTACTGATTACTTTTACTAATCTTTGAAAAATAGGGCGATTATAATAATTTCGTTAAAATTTTTTTTTTTTTTTTTTTATCTTAAAACCTTAGGAGATAAAGAATTCATTTCCTATTTTTTGAGGGACAAATTAATTAATTTATTTTTTTTAATTTTTTTATCTTTTTTATTTTTATTTTTATTTTTATTTTTATTTTTGTTTTTATTTTTATTTTTATTTTTATTTTTTTATTTTATTTATTTTTTTTATTTTTTTTTTTTTAAATATTATTTAAAAAAATATTTGAATTATTTTTTGGTTTTTTAAATCAAAGGAAATATAATGATTATTATAAAAAAATGAGTTTCATCCTTATGTTTAAAAGTTTTTTTTTAAATATTTTTTTTTTTTTTTTTTTGGGTAAAATTTTCCCGATTATAATTATTTAAAATAACCAAATACAATTGAAAAATGATAATTGAATTAAAAATATATGATAAATTAAATGAATTTTAAATTGTTTTGTTTTTTTATAAAAATTTTACCTTTTTATTTATTTTTTAAAAAAAAAAAAAAAAATTTATTTTTAAAAATTTCAAATTTTTTTTAAATTTTTCTTTTAATTTTAAAAAATTTTATTTTTCGCTGTTCCACATTTCATATATTTATTGCTTATAACAATATTAATGTAAATACAAATAAATAGAAAGGGAAGCAGAAATAGAAATAAGTTGTTTATATAAACATATAATTATATAGATCTCAATAATATATATCAAAAATAAATATTATAAATGATGGCATCAAAACATGCTATTGATTGGTCAAATGATGATGTATCAAATTGGCTATCTTCAATTGGTTTTCAAGATTTGGTTCAAGAGTTTTTAGAGACTAATATTAATGGTCCAAAACTACTTACTCTAACCGAAAAGGATCTATCAAAATATAA